TGCAACATGCGCTAACCTTAGTTAGGCTCGTGGTGAGAACCAGGAAGCATTGAACATCTCTCTCGTCTTAACTTCAATCAAAATGTAAAATGTTAGATACCAGGGGTCTGAAAATTAAGCTGTGGTCGTGAAACCTAAATATCCTGAGTTTGATTCCCTATGAGATCTTGGATATCTACTGCTATGAATTCACATACAAAGACTGGACAAATGTCCAATATTTCCTGATTTTTATAAAAATTTATAACTAAAGTCAGTAGATGATGCAAACTATGATCTACAATCTACACAAAATCTCCTACACATATTTTTTGATTTGGAAAATATGAAACTTGTTTAAATCGTCAGATTTCATTAGAATTGATTGATTCAATCCTTAAATAAATTCAGAATTATGTTTACATTCAATCATGATTTTGGCTTTTTCAATAAACTAGATGACGGTATCGAATCACATTCTGCTCTTCAGATGTATAAGCTTATATTTGATGACATAGAAATGACTGTTTTCCATTTATATCAAGATAAACTACGGCTTCTCTGCCTTTTTTATATTACATTTTGCGTACTTCTTCTAACATTAAGTTAATTAATAAAATATTATTATAAGAAAGTGCCATTTTCTTCACTCGTCTACACTTATAATATCTCTTCTCCTCTACTAGTTTTGTATGTATTGACATGAACAATCGTTCAGGTACACTGATGATAGGATACAGTCTATGAACCAGTTTATATAATTTTGTAACAAGACTTCGTTCAAGAATGATTTGTGCACTTGACTTTTACAGTTAGGCCAAAGTCACAATAGTGTCGAGAGTGGAACGAATTAACAGAAGTCGATATAGTTCCCACTATCCAATGACTTATCTCATTTACAACAGAATAACTTATAGTAACTAGCAAATATCGTAAAAATTGATATTTCTTTTATTTAATGTCTTTTATAAACTAATTTTCACTCATTTGTAATCACTTTACTGAATACTCTTGAATTGAATACTATTTATCGGAAATAAGTAGTATTTGAGAGGAAACTTTTTTTCAATAAATTTATCATGAGACTCTACAACTATATTATCTATAAATTCACTTAGTATTGTTTGTTTGAATCTTCCCATTCATGTTTAGGACTGCAACTGATCAGTCTCTTGTTGGTATATGTACATACTGTGAGGATGTCCTCGATACTGCCTTAGCTCACAAGCATTATATACAAAGATGGTTAGTGGCTAGTAGTGGAATCCAGGACGCGCATTTCGTCCTGCTTGGGACTCGTCAGCTGGATGTGAACATCAACTTTGAGGTGCAGGTACATCCAGCTGACGAGTCCCAAATAGGACGAAACGCACGTTCTGAATTCCACTGCTAGCCACTATCCATCTTTGCATATATATATATTATCTATAGTTATTTTATTACAAAGGCCTAAATAAAACATCATTTTAGGTAACATTATCAGTGCCTAATTTATGTAGCATCTCTCAAATTCAACTTTCTATATCTGGGAATACCATATTATCAGAAGCACCCACCTGAGCTTCAAATATTCTTTATCATTTCAAAACTCATTCACTTTGACTGAAGTAAGTATCATTTCTAAGTTATGGATTTTTTGATAAATCAGTCTAACAAAAATAATTAATTTTTCCAGTTTGAAATACAAGTTCAAATAATCTCATTTGCCTACTAGTAAATATAAATTACATCATGAGAAACTTTAAGAACCTCCCCACCAATCGACTCCTTTATAGCTGAACAACATTGACGACGATGAAATGTATATCATGTTTCCTTCATATGCATTCTGTCAGCCAAACACATTGATACAATGTAGACCATAATTATCAAATACGAATTGCTCTAGGTTACTCGTATTCCAGATATGCTAATATTAAACAATAGTCAACACAATGAAAGATGAAGCAATGGTATAAGGGATTGTAATTCATTTATCAACCGACTCAGTGTATAATGGTTTGACACAATTTTTATTGGCATAATAGAAATAGGGTAAATACATAGATACACATCTATATCATACACATATACAAAAAGTGCTCAAGGTTATACAAAAATAATTGACGGAGCCAAATATGTGAAAGAATAACTGGAATAAATAATGTGACCCTCATGTTTAATATGTGTTTTTTTCTTAGTTCGTTTTCATTATTACTAATAAATAGTATATTATCAATCTATCATTACATTTTATGGACAACTGTGTTTGGTGTATGAATACGTTTGTACAGCAAGGCAATTTGTATTATGAATACTAGAGTATCTTAAACGTTGATCAAGTCATTATTAGTACACATTGACAAGGTGTACGTTCAACTTCTATCAAGCTAATAATTTCATGGGAAATCAAATCTTTCTTATTTAGCGTTGTTATAAGATAAATTAGTATTATACATCATATAACTAATTGACCAAATTCAGTTTCGTGTACTCAACTATCCGGTATCTTTTAAGTATAAAGTCAAATGTTGTACCATACAACTATGGAAGCAGAATTAAAGTGAGAATTCTAAATTGATCTGGTGATTTGGTCTATTTGATTGGTAAAATTCAATTGACATGGAGACATAAAACTTATTTCATTATTGAACCTCATATCATATTTTCCTAATTCAAATAATGTTAAGTAGAACAATCAAATATATAGTTAATTAATCGCTTTAAAGATTATTGTTTATCATCGATCGGTATTAGTTAGAAAACATTAGATAATCGTTTATACGAATATGTGCTGACAATTGAACGAATAATTGGTAAGAATTAGGGCGCTGAGTATATAGAAGACGTTATTTATGAAAATTATATTCGAAATAATTTCAACGATTGAAATTTAAATAATTCCGACGTTACGTTCAGCAGATTTGTCTGGACTTCTTCAAGGTAATAATCATAATCATCAAAGAAATATATAGTGTTTAACAATCAAATAAATCTTTACTGTGCTTATCCAATCATATTTAGATGTTGACTTTATTAAGTAGGATAAAATGAGTCAGTTATATGCGAATCAGTTTAGGGTTGTGGAGATTGTTGAGTTTAAATTGATATCATGAATGGATGAATGTTAGTCCACCGTTGGATGCCGACTCAGTAGTCTTGAGGTTAAGTGTTCACGCGCGAGAAAGAAGGACCTGTATTTGAATCCTGTGTGTGGGGTCGTGGATGCACTAGGACGAAACGGATGCCCAGTGCTTCCAGGCTTTCATTGGTGGTTTGACATTGATTCGTTCATTATATATGCGAATTATGTGAAAAGTTCACAATGTGAAGATAAATGAATGAACGATTGTGTGTGTATGTATGTGTAAGCTTGAGTTATTAATAGTTGATATTATGTGTTAATTTGTCTTTACATGAAGTAAAAATAAAAGTACAAGTTGAAGGCTGAAATCGTTTCTGAATCATTGATGTGCACGTAAAATGAGAACCATCAAATACATAATTGTAATGCTAAAATATCCCAGATTATTTTTATCAGAATAACGATATTGTTTCGTGCTAAATTGGAAGGAGTTACCTATCGACCTAATCACTACATATCAGTCTGCTAACTGCTAAATATAAATATCCTCTAACTCCATCGTATATGGTTGACAGTGAACATTATTATTGAGAAGTCTTGAATTATGACAAAGTAGCTGGCACTAAATTCAATAAAAAGTATCCCGTCCAATTATAGAAAACTGTTTTTCAAGCAAACTGTTGAATGTTTTCATTGATTAATTACTTAATAACGATCGATAAGAAATCCAATATCTGCTGGCAAATCAAAATGATTACATCACATTCCTTTGACCGAACATGCGATTACAAAACCTAGAAGACATTGCTTAATTGAAGGTGCCAGATAGGGATGAAGAAGCGAAACTGTGAAGTTTTTATAAGTACCCTGAGTGGATTAGTATATATTTTTACGGTTTGCATTATTTTTACATTGCCCTGATTGTAAGTTATTAAATGTTGATGTATCCCTTAATGTTCATAAGTTACAATTAACTGATTACGTATCTGATATTTGGTTTCGTAACACACATAGTCTAGTTATGTACAGACAATGTTTTTATCAAAAGGGTTTTATGGATATTTTAGTAATTTCAATGGTTGAGAGGAAAATGTTAATGGTTTCAGGTTTTCCATGGTGGTCTAGCTTCAATTGACTCATGATCTCAACTATAAAAATTACTATAATATCCACAAAACTCCTTCTGATATTAATCAACATATGCTCACTAGTGACTGGCTTCAAGAGGTATTTCATGGGGTTCTAGTGAGAAACAGTGACCAGTGGTGTTCAACCGGGTCTGTTGTGAGATAGTAACTCACTGAAGACATTGATGGATTTGTCTCTCATTTTCATGGATTGGTTGAAGTTAGACATTAACACTGTTGGATGCCCGCCGGCTCAGTGGTTTATTGGTTAAGCACTAGCACGCGAGACTGATATTTCCTGAGTTCGAATTTTGCGAGGCGGGATCGTGGATGCGCACTACTTAGGATTCTCACAATAGGACGAAACGGCCATCCACTGCTTCCAGGTTTTCCATGGTGGTCTAGCTTCAATTGACTTATGTTTCTATCACCAATGTTGTGTTGTGGTCATGTAATTATTGTACATTATCATATGATTTTTGAGTCAACATGTAATGTAATGTAACAACAGATGTGGTAAATCAACTTTCTGTCCTCATGTTTTGATTGGACATTTTGAATAGGGGGAACTTATTATAGGCCAATCATTATAAACAATTTAAATGAGGATTATTTTGTTAAACTGAGAGTCATTAGTACTATTGACCGTATAATAAACTCATCATCAATAGACCTAATGATCTACTGAGTATATCAAATGTCAGCTCATAATAAAAAGCTTAATATTTCAATAGGATTATTTACCCATAATTACAAATACTACTTTTTGATTACTTATATAAAGTTTTGTTTCTATACTCTATTTTTTATCATTTCTTTTCCCAATATAGAGATGGTTAAGACTTTTCGATACAAATGATAAAGGCATAATCACAATTGAAGATGTCAGTCGTACTCTGGGTGTACCACCTCCGAAATTTTATGAGTAAGATATATACAATTTAATTTTTAAATATAGATTTTTCATAGGGTAAATGGATTGAATGATTATTTTATATATCAATCTAAATAATAATAGTAATAATAAAGAGTTGAATATATAACACAAGTTAGCTTCTTGATGAATGTAACACTGTCAACTTTGGAATGTTTTCTGAAGATCTTTTCATACCATACAATGAATTTATAATTGAGTATATGTATATATATATATTCTAACTTGATTCATTTCTTTTTGGTATTGCTGATTTGATTACTGACTAAATTTGTTAGGAGTAGTACTTTGTGACTGATTTAGCTTGACTAAATCGATAACATTGATCTACCAGATACAACAACGTTTGACTATAGGAAACATCTTGAAGTCAGTTACTGTTGAGAATTTGCAAATAAATATAATTTAAGTATAACGAATGAGAAAGTTTCCTATTAATTATATTTCATAATTGTCACTGTATATCGTGAAATCACTGGAATTTGATATATCGATCATTGGATTGTAATTCAATGGCCTAAAATTAACTTGCATGCCTGAAGCTCTTGAATTTTAGTCCTGATGTGATCATGAATGAATACTACCAAAGAGCTAATTATGAGAATGAAATAGCTACTCAGTTCTTTCTGGTTTGCAAAGGTTACTTAGCTTATATCATTACATGGAAGAAGTTATCCTCGAAATTGATTGATAAATTTAATAATACTTGATGTAAAGTGATTAAAAGATATCTATGACAGTCTTTAGATAATATACATTCCGAGCTAGTTATCACTTGTCAACAAGACTCACTAGGAACGTCAAAGGATTTAACATTCTCTAAGATTTTTCAACCCCTCACCTAGAGCCCTTGTTACAGATTATACAATTTGAACTATTTTGGTTGTGAGAACATTAATCATAAAGTTATTTTTCACTAAATTTGTTCTATGGTAATTTAGAACAAGAATTAATATACTATACTTTTTGGTAAACATTTACTGCACGGCCATTTTTGTATTTTTTTTCGAGTGAAATTTTTTTTCATCCCTTTTTAAAAAATTTTTCAGCCCCATCTTCCAATAATTTTCATTCTGTTTCGTCCAATCAAATAACTAGTTTTGAGTTCGTTATAATTGGTCGTTTATTTATTCAAATCGATATAAAATATCAGGACATGACGACAGAGCACATTTTCTCACAATTATGGACGGTGGTAACATGCGAAGCGCGGACTCTGTCGTTCCTCGCGTTGTCACAGAAAGCGATAACCTGTTCGTTTTTGAGCACATTGTATGTCGTAACGTCTCAATCACTTGACGAGCTCCATAAGAACTTATGAAACAGCTGCGTACTGCCATTATGTGGTGAGGGATTCTCATTTACATAGAGATCGGAAGCCGTATATTAGATTCGTATGTTGGAGAAATGGTCGTAGAACATCTAGCGGTTCTTCACAGCGGAGTAGACAAACGAGGTAATTTAATTAGTGTTATTATAATTTTTCATTAAGGACTACCGTGAACACTCAATGTCCTTCCTTCGTATTTTGTAAGTTACCAACTGTCAAAATAATGTCGATATGGATGCAACGTTGAGGAATGACGAGGAGGAAATTGTTTTGATTAGCTCAGTGGAGTTCACTGAACGAGACGACGACAATGACGAAGACGCGTATGACAGCAGACTTTATGATATTTGCAATCTTGCGCAACCGCCACATAAAACTGCTGATGGAAGTACCTGGGGTTTTTGTCCATGCGAAGCAATGCTTCATTTATTTTGTGCCTACGACCCATCAACACACGTCCATGGTATCCGCTGTCCCATGTACGGAACTATAATGGAATAATAGCAACGCCTTTGTTCATGAAACTCGGAACTGTTAAGAGAACGAGTAAAGGCCCTTTTCAGGGCCACCCACAATTTGATTTAAATTCTTTTGTTCCGATTCCTTATTTCCATAGTGGAGGTCAAGTGATCAAACCATCAAAATCCATTTAAGATTAATGGTCATTATGTGATTAGCACCTACGTATTCGTAAACGCTTTTTAAGCATTGTCAAATATACGGTTTAAGTAAACGATTTCGTATAGGAAATGTCATCTAATGAACACTAATCTGTCTAACAATAGTACATGCAAAACTTATTCAGAATGTTTCAGTGTTTTGTCATAAAGTTAGTTACTATAGGCGAATGTAGTACTACCAGTTTACTAGTACAACGACATCATTCTATAGGAAAGGTCAACTGAACCAACATCGATGAATTCTAGCTAAGCCTTAGTGATTAAGCAATATAATCAATTGAGATTTATAAAAATTTCGTGGATTAGATCATTAAAAGAGAATTTTGGAAAAAACTTATAACTGGTTTTAATAGTTGATGATAGTAATAACTGACGTTGAAAGGTGGTCAAATGTTTAATACACAATTAATAAAGAAATTATTCATCGAAGTATTTCCATTAGTTTTTTCTTAACACACCGTATGTTATTTTAATAAACGTTATATGCGTAGCAACATATCCATAAATCATTATGATAGAATAATGAATAGGGCATGCATAAATCACGCTAACCGTTAACGATCGGTAAATGAAGCAAAATAGTAATAACTTCTCTCAGAAAATAGCAAATATTATTTATGATTGGGCACTTTTCCAAACAGCAATTCTTAGTACAAAAGAGTTGTTTAGTTTTATCTGAATAATGGTGTCATAAATAAATGCAAGATTGTCAATTGAGTTATTTTGCTAATCCATTAAAAGCGTTACTTGTTTTTACCTGTACATTCTTTGCAGTTGAGCAGTTTAAAATCACGACAAAAAGTACTTGTCTATGTAAGTAGTCATGTGAATAGTTAGTTGTGCTCGTCAATTGGGCTTAACAAATTTTGCACGTAATGTCAACAGCATATTTGCAGTTTAAAGAAATCTACAGAGAATATTCTATGTTGTTGAATAACAGGTTTTGACAAGTATTCGAAACTCTTATTACATTTTGCATGTAACATTGTTACAGATAATTGCCACATTAAATGATATAGACATTTTATAAAACGTATAAATGTGTCACTATCACGTGAAAGGTAATCACATTTTTTTATTTGAATAGTTGAGATCATGAGTGGATTGAAGCTGGAGCACGATGTAAAATGGATCATTTTGACGTTTGGTAAATAAATGGTAGGCTTTTATTTATTACATTGACATTACACGTACGTATACCCAAATGTCACTTGATACAATTGACTTTGTTCGTATTAAGCTGTATAATTGAGATAGACATTTATTTTGTCAGACGTAGGCTTGTACTTTTACATTTAATGTAACCAATATTTTAAACACCTGTCAAAACCTGTTATTCAACAACATAGAATATTCTCTGGAGATTTCTTTAAACTGCAAATATGCTGTTGACATTACGTGCAAAATTTGTTAAGCCCAATTGACGAGCACAACTAACTATTCACATGACTACTTACATAGACAAGTACTTTTTGTCGTGATTTTAAACTGCTCAACTGCAAAGAATGTACAGGTAAAAACAAGTAACGCTTTTAATGGATTAGCAAAATAACTCAATTGACAATCTTGCATTTATTTATGACACCATTATTCAGATAAAACTAAACAACTCTTTTGTACTAAGAATTGCTGTTTGGAAAAGTGCCCAATCATAAATAATATTTGCTATTTTCTGAGAGAAGTTATTACTATTTTGCTTCATTTACCGATCGTTAACGGTTAGCGTGATTTATGCATGCCCTATTCATTATTCTATCATAATGATTTATGGATATGTTGCTACGCATATAACGTTTATTAAAATAACATACGGTGTGTTAAGAAAAAACTAATGGAAATACTTCGATGAATAATTTCTTTATTAATTGTGTATTAAACATTTGACCACCTTTCAACGTCAGTTATTACTATCATCAACTATTAAAACCAGTTATAAGTTTTTTCCAAAATTCTCTTTTAATGATCTAATCCACGAAATTTTTATAAATCTCAATTGATTATATTGCTTAATCACTAAGGCTTAGCTAGAATTCATCGATGTTGGTTCAGTTGACCTTTCCTATAGAATGATGTCGTTGTACTAGTAAACTGGTAGTACTACATTCGCCTATAGTAACTAACTTTATGACAAAACACTGAAACATTCTGAATAAGTTTTGCATGTACTATTGTTAGACAGATTAGTGTTCATTAGATGACATTTCCTATACGAAATCGTTTACTTAAACCGTATATTTGACAATGCTTAAAAAGCGTTTACGAATACGTAGGTGCTAATCACATAATGACCATTAATCTTAAATGGATTTTGATGGTTTGATCACTTGACCTCCACTATGGAAATAAGGAATCGGAACAAAAGAATTTAAATCAAATTGTGGGTGGCCCTGAAAAGGGCCTTTACTCGTTCTCTTAACAGTTCCGAGTTTCATGAACAAAGGCGTTGCTATTATTCCATTATAGTTCCGTACATGGGACAGCGGATTCCATGGACGTGTGTTGATGGGTCGTAGGCACAAAATAAATGAAGCATTGCTTCGCATGGACAAAAACCCCAGGTACTTCCATCAGCAGTTTTATGTGGCGGTTGCGCAAGATTGCAAATATCATAAAGTCTGCTGTCATACGCGTCTTCGTCATTGTCGTCGTCTCGTTCAGTGAACTCCACTGAGCTAATCAAAACAATTTCCTCCTCGTCATTCCTCAACGTTGCATCCATATCGACATTATTTTGACAGTTGGTAACTTACAAAATACGAAGGAAGGACATTGAGTGTTCACGGTAGTCCTTAATGAAAAATTATAATAACACTAATTAAATTACCTCGTTCGTCTACTCCGCTGTGAAGAACCGCTAGATGTTCTACGACCATTTCTCCAACATACGAATCTAATATACGGCTTCCGATCTCTATGTAAATGAGAATCCCTCACCACATAATGGCAGTACGCAGCTGTTTCATAAGTTCTTATGGAGCTCG